CTTACATCCAGACCCTGTGTAGCCGCTTAGCCAGTGTAGCTAGCTTAGCTACCGCATACATTCTCCTAAGGTTACCTCTATACCCTCTATAGCCGCCTAGCGAGTGTAGCTAGCGTAGCCACCGCATGCATACTCCTTAGATTACCTCTATACACTCTGTGGTAGCGTACCCAGTGTAGCTAGCGGAGCCACTTAATGCATGCTCCTAGGCTTACATCCAGACCTTGTGTAGCCGCGTAGCCAGTGTAGCTAGCGTAGCTACCGCATACATTCTCCTAAGGTTACCTCTATAGTATATAGAGGGTATAGAGTCTATACCCTCTATAGCCGCGTAGCGAGTGTAGCTAGCGTAGCCAATGCAAGCATGCTCCAAAGGTTACCTCTATACCCTCTGTAGTATCGTAGCCAGTGCAGCTAGCGTAGCCACTGAATGCATGCTCTTGGGCTTACTTCCAGACCCTGTGTAGCCGCGTAGACAATGTAGCTAGCGTAGCCTCCGGAATGCCTGCTCCTAAGGTTACCTCCAGAACCTCTGTAGCCGCGTAGCCAATGTAGCTAGCGTAGCCACCGCATGCATTCTCCTAAGGTTACCTCTATAGCCTCATAGCAAGTGTAGCTAGCGTAGCCACTGCATGCATACTCCTAAGGTTACATCTAGCACTCTGTAGTAGCGTAGCCAATGTAGCTAGCGTAGCCATTGAATGCATGCTCCTGGGCTTACATCCAGACTCTGTGTAGCAGCGTAGTCAATGTAGCTAGCGTAGCCACTGAATGCATGCTCCTAGGCTTACATCTAGACCCTGTGTAGCAGCGTAGTCTAGTAGCTAGAGTAGCCTCCGAACGCCTGCTCCTAGGCTTTCCTAAAGAACCTCTATAGCCGCGTAGCGAGTGTAGCTAGCGTAGTCACCGCATGCATGCTCCTTAGATTACCTGTATACCCTCTGTAGTGGCGTAGCCAGTGTAGCTAGCGTAGCCACTGAATGCATGCTCCTAGGCTTACATCCAGATCCTGTGTATGCGCGTAGTGAGTGTAGCTAGCGTAGCCACCGCAAGCATGCTCCTTAGGTTACCTCTTTACCCTCTGTACCCGCATAGCCAGTGAAGCTAGCGTAGCCACTGAATGCATGCTCATAAGCTTACATCCAGACCCTGTGTAGCATCGTAGTCAGTGTAGCTAGAGTAGCCACCGAATGCCTGCTCCTAGGCTTACCTACAGAACCTCTGTAGCCGCTATGCGAGTGAAGCTAGCGTAGCCACCGCATTCATGCTCCTTAGGTTACCTCTATACCCAAGTAGTTGCTGAGCCACTAAATGCATGCTCCTAGGCTTACCTCCAGAACCTATGTAGCCTCGTAGCGAGTATAGCTAGCGTAGACACCGCATGCATGCTCCTTAGTTTACCCGTATACCCCCCGTAGTGGCGTAGCCAGTATAGCTAGCGTAGACACTTAATGCATGCTCCTGGGCTTACATCAAGACCCTCTGTAGCCAAGTAACGAGTGCAGCTAGCGTAGACACCGCATGCATGCTCCTTAGTTTACCTGTATACCCTCTGTAGTGGCGTAGCTAGCGTAGCCACTGAATGCATGCTCATAAGCTTACATCCAGACCCTGTGTAGCATCGTAGTCAGTGTAGCTAGAGTAGCCACCGAATGCCTGCTCCTAGACTTACCTACAGAACCTCTGTAGCCGCTTAGCAAGTGAACCTAGCGTAGCCACCGCATGCATGCACCTTATGTTACCTCTATACCCAAGTAGTTGCTTAGCCACTAAATGCATGCTCTTAGGCTTACATCAAGACCCTCTGCATATCCAGTGTATACTTGCATGTTGTCGCCACTGCATGCCTGGTCCTAGGCTTACCTCCAGAACCTATGTAGCAGCGTTGTCATTGTAGCTAGCGTAGCCACTGAATGCATGCTCCTAGGCTTACATCAAAAATTAAAAAAAAAAATTCCTAAGGTTAATCAAATTTCAGTGTAATAAAACCCGGCCCTCTCTCTTAACAACAAAACGTGGTAGCATGGCTAGGGCCGGGAATATTATGAAACTAAACTTTGACTTGATCTTGAATTGAGTTAATCAAATTATTCGCTTGGTCATTAAGGGGAATTTGGAATAATATAATACTGGAAAGTGCTGACACCTTTAAATGACAAATGGGACTGAAATACTGCTTACTGTGGGAGGGGGTGATTGCAATATATAATGATATAAATGGAATCTCTAACACAACTTGCACCTAAGTATTCTCAACAGATCGCAATAATGAGCTTGATATGACCCCTTAAATATATGGGTCTTAAATGAAGATGAAACAATCTGTTGAAAATAAACTTTAGATCAAATTGACCACCTTTTACGCAAAACAACAGACAAAGATATTAAGATTATATAATTTTAATAATGATATAAATCTGAATATATAGAATATGCTGTATAAAATGGTATATTTACAAAGGAATATTTACATAATCAGAGTCACGAAGTTCGAACGAATAAGACACTGTTAACTCACAACAGGAACGATCTTATTATTGAACTTACTCTGATTAAGAATCTCACCAATCTCACTAACTATCTCATTCCCAGCATTTAACTCCACTTACATGACAAAAGTTATCTACATATTCCCAACATTTAACTCCACTTACATGACAAAAGTTCTCTAATTATATGGATGACCTGAATTAATCAACACTACGGTGACCATGAGCACCTTAAAATAATGGAACACTCAAAAAGCAGAAATTCATGGAAATCCCTTGATACACACTGATCTCTGAGCCAAATAACAGAGGATATTCCTTACAGAGCCTGACAGAAATCCACTTGAATATTCAAGACTAAAGTTGGAAGTATAAAAAATGAGTTTAAACTGAAACAACCTTATCCCTCGAAATGCATCAAGGTTCCGAGATCTCAAAACCACGAGGTTGAGAATTTAAGGAACTGAGACAATGAGATTTCAGTTATAAACTGGAAACAAAAAGTAACTCATATAATTGAGAAGTTTTAGCGTTGTGGTAACCGACTAAAAAGCGGCTCCCCAGAATCCTGAACAATAGCCCAAGATTCCTTTAGAATAAAACTTACAAATAAATCAATAAAGCACGAAATATAGAAGATGATCTCTCAAAATCAAGCATCTAAAGCTGGGTGACCTAATTGTGACGTCCCTAAAAGACAGAATCCATTCGGTGATCGCAAATCATCAATTACATGTAATTGAAAGAACTAAAATGTTCTAAAATATCTGCATTCGATTGAACTGTGATTGATAATCCCAAGAGAGTTTTAAGTTCAAACACTCAGAAATTTTACAAAAATCCCATGTAGAACTTCAATCACTTATTCAAAACAAGGCAGATAAAAGAGTTTTACAAGCGCAAAACTCTTAATGAAATAATAAAAAATGCTGAAAATGCCAGACTGAAATCTACATTATAGCCTAGTCTTGTTTATAATCCTAAAATGTCCATCCATAATTCTGGTTTTCCAAGTTCATTTCCCAACTCGAGCAATTCATTAGGTTTCTCCTTTGTTTGTCCCATATTCACTTATCAGTCTCAAATTTAACTCAAGCAATTCAATTTCTCCTATGTTTCACCCATGTTCACTTTCTCAGTCTCAAATCTACATTCTAGTTTCTCCTAAGTTTCTCTCATCTTCACTATCTCAGCCTCAAATCTACATTCTAACAATCCAAGACCTTTCTCCCATGTTTCTCACACGCTCACTATTCCAGCCTCAAAACTACATTCTGTCCTTAACACTAAAAAATATTACTTACTTCACAAAATATAACAATCAGCTAGAGCTAACACCATTGGTCAATGCATTAAATACTTATCCCCCTAACTTGACTCTCATTGGCTAAGCTTCTTTCTCTGCTTAAAAACACTTTTAGGACTGATGGTCCTTGTAAAATCACATTATAAACAAAATAACATTTGAAACAAGTATCTAAAAGATAATGCACAAACTCAATATAAAATAAAATGAATGTACAAATAAAAGTACAAAGTAATGATGCCAGGATCATTACATAACCCCCTCTTTTGAAAAAGAGTTCGTCCCGAACTCACAGCGTCACACTCTGTAAGTTGAAGGTTACAATAAAAACAATGTCATCAAAAATGTACAATATCTTCCTAACCTAACATGAATTAAACAGATTACAAAAATATATAGTTATGCAGGTCATACAGCAATATAAACTACACAATACACAATCGATACATATAATCACGCATTATGCAGCTAAAATGAATTATGATTATCCAAATAGTGTCCGTGTATAAGAAATGCAGTACTACAAATCATGATTTCAGGGTGATCAGTCCTTAATCAGCATCGCACTAAAAGTAGAATAATAGATGGCATCATAGTTCATCATGGCTCAGCATTACTTCGGTCCAAAGCCTTCTCTATATTCCGGCTTTGAGGAGGAAGATTGAGCTGCCTTAGTATTATAAATATTGTAAATCATTGTGTCACACGCACAGTAAATATGGCATAATAATATGAAATATACCTTTATGTATAGATTTGAAGAACATCAGCTCACATCCCCGTCTGAATCTATTGTTATATTTGATTTCTTTAAGCGAGAATAATTTCAAATGTTATTCACGTCCAGAACCGGAAGCCATTTTTAGCTACAGCGAGAAAATTTCACCATGTGTCAAAACTCCGAAATGAAATTTTGAAATATCTAAATCCAGACAAGCAACGCTTCATCCTAAATATGATTAATATTCTTAAAAATATTTATAAAATTTATCAAAAATGAGTGCTAGGTGCGTGTAGGTGCGTGTAGCACAGTACATACGAAATCAATGAAGTTTCGTCTAGCTGTAAGCTAGAGACTCGAGTAAGCTCAGCACAAAACTGTTGAATATGAATAACACAGTTCATCACTTGTTTCATCATCATATATCACTATAAATCAAATGTTGACTTTTCATTCAGCCGTCACGTAGATTATAATATATCACCTAAACGTCTCTAATGGCAGTATGTTTCAACGGACAATTCACATACATATGGGTTACGTCCCCACATTTGTAGCACAAATGATGCTTTCTTCTGTAGCTCCTAGTCTCTGTTGTTTTATCAATAGATGGCGCCTTACGTTTCACCAAAATGTCTCTGCATTCACCATTCAATAAAGTGTTTATCACTGTCGAAGTCGCTGTCTCGATTATATGTAACGCAGAATTCATCGAAGCACAATCATTAGCATTGATTGTCTCGGTAGCACAATCATTGTCAATAGTTGATCTCCTAGCACAATCAATAATAGATTTTGTATGGGTAGCACAATCACTGACGTCATCCGTTCTCTTTGCACAATCAGTATAAATTACTGTTCTCTTAGCACTGCCATCGATTACAGATGTCATCTTCTTAACGCAATTATTAGTGATTGTTGTTTCTTTGGCACAATCAGTTTCTGTAGCACAACCAAATGCAGAGGTTGTCTCCTCAGCACAACCTTTTACGAGGGTTGTTTTCAAGGGGCACATTTTCGCATCGCCGATGACGTTCTTTGTACCAATGGTCCTCATATAACGTACCCTGGCGAACTGCATCTAATAGGCTAGTAGGCGAGCTCTGTTTCACAAACCAGGCCAAGTCAATATCAGATTTCAAGGAATCAAGAAAGTAATCAACAGAATATCTTTGCCTTTCAGAGTGAGAAAAATCAGGAAAAGCCTCACAAACTAGACCCTGAATATCCAATGCCAAAGAAAGTAATGATTCACCAGACTTTCTACCCAATCTACTCCGTTCTTGCAATTTTGACCAGTAGAAATGAGCATCATAAATAGGAGAAAAATACAATCTCAAAGTTCTAGTAAGCACTTCAAAGTCAATCCTATCAGCAGGTTGAAGAGGACTAAGAACCTTGACTGCGTCAACTCGCAATAATGAAACAAGATAAACTGCACTTGTTTTGTCATCCCAACCATGAAAGTCAGCAATGATACGAAACTGGATTTCATAATGTTTAAAATTACTTGTACCATTGTACACACTAGGCATAGGTCCCTTCATTTTACTAAACAAGAGGCTTTAACGCTTAGAGTTAACCAAGTGCAAATTGACAGACACAATAAGCAACTGATGCAGACAGATAAACAGTAGGCTGGAACCTTCCTTCCAGCTGATCTGAGATTAACCAATCACAGGCATGCACACCATATGAAAACTAAACGTTGCAATCTCAATATTTGAGAGGTTAAGCTTTGCATATATAATCGAAACTGAACCTGTACGTATCACTCGACCATATACAAATTCATGTAGCCTTCTCATATAAATAGCCGTTCAAATCCAGTGTTTGTTTAGACTACACCATTGCGTGTAATGATTCTATAGTATGTCATTGATGCGGTTTTATAGCTGGTTTTCTAATACATATTTTAAACGAGCTGGTTTCGTAAGATTTTTGGCGCTAAATCATGCATGACATACATCATCGTGTTCAGCAAGAATTCAACTGTGCATCGAAATCAAAATTGACAGCATAATGTTCAATAGACACGAGTAAAATGGTTCCCGTTGACCCAACGTCAAATTTCAAAATCTCCCGTTCTAAACCCGAAACTCTGAAGCTGAAAGAGTATCTGAAGTAGACTAAGCGCGCATAAAACTATGAGCGCTCGATACATTCCTTTGTTAATTTTTGTACTTTGCGTTCACGGTTACGTTGTGAAAAACATCGTTAGCTTAACCTCTCCAATAACAATCAAACTGAAATCCAAGCACTGATAAACAAGGAAGATATAACACTAACACCCCAGTCACATTTCCTGCGGCCGCCGTGCGGCCTATCATATCTGCGGCCAGTAACATTTCTACGCTCGCCGTGGAATTTCTGCGCTCTCATACTTTTGCAGTCACATTTCCCACGGCAACCGCACGGCGAACTTTAAATTTCTGTTGATAAATGATAGTTTTTTCATTTTAATTACATCAGGACAATTTACAAATGTTATTCAAAGTGCTAGGATGTAATATCAAATGAAAAGTGATCGTGAAACATTGACAAATAATGATTCGATCTTGTTGAGCCAGTTGATTTCTACGGGGACGTCGTTGGCTGCCGCTAATACCGCAGGATCAAAATTGAAGTTGGCAAATTGTAGTTGGGCCAACATTGGCCCTTCGTTGGCTGCCGCTAATAGAGATTTTACATTTTGGCATGCCATCTCCTGATACCTTGGTGAACTAAGTCATGTGATCATTTATATCCAATCAGAATGCATTTCTGCCACATAGTGATAGCATAGTGATCCAAAGCTAAACCAAGGTGTAGGAATGGTTTATATTATCATATAGAAGGGGTGCACTTTTCTAATTGGCCATGGTTGACATGCATGTTTGCAAACTTAGTACTTGCACCAAGAGCTCTGACTGGCATCCTAACAAAATAAATTCATACTACACTGATGCCTGGGTCACATTTGCTCCGTTTGTTCAATATTGTATTTAATTTTGAACAAAATACTCAATCGGCATGTCGCCGTAGTGAAAATCGGAGCAATCTGCATTACTTGTACACAGTGTATACCAATAGCCCATTTTCAGCATAGCAATTTCTAAGAAGGGTTTCCAAAATCACACTACCCTACCTCGATCGCGCATGCGCGAATCTTTTGGCTTTCAAACATGTCGCTTTTGAGTATATCGACTGCTTAGTCAAAAGGTTAATACGTTTGGTGCTCGGAGTGAGTCAATATTGCTATTCGCTACACTTCAGTGGTGCAATAGTGAAGTCCATGTTCCAAGTTATATGATAGTTGAAGAAATAATGTAAATAATATCGTTTTAAATTTTAAAATATTTGATATGTCATAGTACACGGTACACAGCTGCAAAAGTTGATCAATACAGGGTACAAGGAATGTAAATTGTTCAATAGTACAGGGAGCGAGAAAGTAAGCTGATTATACAGACATACTATGTCCCGACCTCATGTACATTTACGTTGCAAACAGTGAAAGTAATGCTAAAAAGGCCGCCTGTTGATGCTTTGAGGTGTCATCAATTGTTATTTAATCCAAATAAAGTAAACATTATTTTGTAGATTTAGACACAGGCTTTCAAGTCGTATGCATTTTAGTCATTAAATTAACAAGAACGCTAGATTATATGTGTTACTAGAGTATCAAATTGAAATTAAATAACGAAATTAAATATCAACACGTTAATGATAAATGACTATCCGCTATCAGTATTAATGACTATTTGCTACTCAGAATAATTAAAATTGCCTGAACTACATATGAAGAATCTTTCTATAGAACCCCTTGAATGGTCTAATTCACTACCGTCCTAAAAACCCGACCATTCAAAATGTTTTGTTCAAATTCACAAAAATACAGTTGACTAACATACTAGAAAACGTATCAACCTATAACACGATGACACGCAGTTTAAACAACAGTTAACTGTTTTTTTGTTACATATCAATGTAACATTTTCGAAGGGACACTTACATGCTCCCTGTACGTTGATAGATTTACTGAAATGTATCGTGTATTGCATTTGGTTTTGCTTCACTGCGACCACTATTATCTATCTTTGCCTATAGTGGTTTTTTGCCAACAATATTCTACATTGATATTGATGAATCAATTCTATGTCTGGTAGAACACTAGAAATATATGTAAAATGTATTTTACGTTCAGAAATATGGAATTAAACCCACGTCCTCCATTTGCAACTAAGCTGTACCCTGTTTCCCTTTTAAACGTGGTCACGTGGTAGGGTAGTGTGAAAATGCTCCACCATGGAATACCTTGACCCTCTCTTCTTACATGATAGACACAGACATGTTTCTAGATGCGATGTGTACCAGAATGAAAGTTCTGGCTTCTTCCTAACTTGGCGGGAGGGTGCAAAGTACTTTCTTGATTATTAAAAATAAATGCCATTGTCACAGGAACTCTGCATTTTATGTAAATCCATTGAATATTTATCTGCGTGCTCGAAGTTAAGAAGATCAGATTCTTTATAACACTTGATCTAAATCTATTTGATATTCAAAATCTAAGTAAACCTCTCTTTTTGAAGAACCAACTATCTATCATATTACTCAGATTGGATTAATCAATATTCTCATACTCTCTCTAGTTTGTATGAATGAATGACCCTAAACATCATGTGAAAGACTTCTCAGAAATTGTGCCAAATATATTACTCTAAATCATACATGTCATAGGAGCTATGAAATTTTGAAAAGTTGTCTGAAACAAAAATTGTGATCATAAAAAGAGAATGGATTGCTTTCTAAAGCAGTTTTCTATTTTTAGGAATGAATTCAAATTTCCAAAAGCTTCTATAATTTCAAATAATATATTTGGCACACTTTCTCAAAAATGCAATAGATTCTGTCTGGTGACCTTTCTAAAAGTCCAACTTTTAACTGTTTTTGAGTCACATTTTCTTAGTTACACTCCTCTGTGTATACTTTCTCCAGTATGTATGAATCGAAACTAGGTTAATTTCCTATGTGCCTAAACCAATATTTTATTGTTTTATTTACTTTCTGTGTATGTGTGTATGGACTACTATTTATATTTTTCCAGTGTATATATGAAACAATAAATTTTAACTGTCGTGTATTGACAAATATCATGTACTTTCTCCAGTGTGTATGAGCAAATATTATGTACTTTCACTTTAGTTATTTAACCAATACTCTGTACGTTCATACACACTGGAGAAAGTACATAGTATTTGTTTATACAAAATGTGTGTTCATAAACAATGGAGTACATGATATTTGTTCATACATACTGGAGAAAGTATATACAAAGGCGTGTTGGTTCATATACATGTCCATACTGGAGAAAGAGCGTAATGTCTCTTCATACACATTATAGATATTGTAGTACATTAAATTCGTTCATGCTCACTGGTTTAGGTACATTTTATTCGTTCTGACACATTGATTAATTAACAAAATATTGAAATCACGGAAGAGAATGAACAACGTTTTGGTTCATGCACAATGGAGAAAGTACAAATCATTTGCTTATGCATGTTGGAGAATGGACACAAAATATTTGTTCAGACATGCAGGAGAAAGTACAAAAAATGTGTTCATTGAAAGTGGAGAACCCAGATTATATACTTTTTCCAGTTTGTATGAACAAATTCATCAATATGTTTCATGCAACACATTTTAATTTGTAATTTAAGGTGTTTTGTAAGTTAACAGAAATGACAAAACAAAAAATGTCAAAACCATGCTGGATTCTGAAATTTTTTTGAACCAAGATAACAGAGTTCTGTTTGGACCTTCAGTCTGTTTAACTAGTTCAACATATTTACACGACCGGGAACACAAGGAAAATGGTCAGAATGACCATAAACATGATGAAATAACCTTTTCAGCCCCTGTGACTGAAAAATAGCTAAAAGTAGGGCTCAGGAAAGGTCAATGAACAGAATCTCTTGATTTTTTCAGAAAATTTGTCTAATATATTGCTCTAAATGATACAATCTTTGAAATTTTAAAAAATTGTCTGAAACAATAATTGCTGTAGTTAAAAGGAAAATAGATCGATTTTGAATTCAG